AGAAGAGAAAAATGGAAGTAATTTCTAAGTAATAAAGRGACACAAACTTTCTGATCATTAGGATTTTCATTAAATAGAATGGATTGCTGTAAAATGCAGTAAACCTGTCAAGGAAAAGGTCAAGCTCAGACTGGAAGACAGTCTCTTAAGAATTTCACAGAGGTGAGGAATGAACTGCCTAGACAATTCAACTAGATGGCTTCAAAGTCTGATCCAATTAGAGATATTATAATTCTCTTTTAAGAAACTCATTAGCTTTGGGTAATTTGCTCAAGATGAATCACAATATAGGACACAAGTACACTAACTACTGTGCTTCCTCCCTTTGAAAGCCCTATATATATTAGAACAGGTATATTAGAAGTGTGTTTGAAAGATATTGGTAAGCAATCTAAAGATCTTATGGATTCCTGGTATCAAMAGAAATCTAGATACCCTGTTTTCTCTTCAGATCATATAAATCTTTTGCCTTTTACTATATATTTCCATAGAAACAATTCCAAGTTTTTCAACTAACTTTTGAGGCCTTGTTTKGGCAGGGCTAGGAAAAAAAAAAAGTTTAGATTTTAGTTCTACTGCTTAACTATACAACCTTGAATAGATTACCATTTCCCTAGACCTCGGAGAAGCTCAAGCTGAAGAAATATTCCCTACTTTTGCCATCATCATTATTTTTTAATAATGTATTTTAAAATGTGTTTGTTATCTGGAGAATCAAAATAACTGGGTGACTCTATAGCATTTAGTGGTCTAGGGATGCTGAGTATCCTTCAGTGCCCCAAATGACATTCCTTTCACTGAGAAATGCTGATGAAAGAATCACAAATTTATTTTCAGGTCAAATTCTGTGAAATTGTTAACATTTTTAGCTAGTAATTGTTAACATTTTAGCTAGTAACTAAAACACAATGAAACATCATATTTTTCTATCCTAAGTAGTTAGTGTAGAACACAACCAAATATTGATTGATTATCTAGGATTACCAGGACAAATTTAATAGAGTTGGTAAAAAAAAAAAAACAACAACAACAACAAAATCTCGTTTTTAATGTATAGATGTCAAGAGAATTACCCTTCAATAAACTCAAATAATTTGGTGTCAACATTGTAACCATGACATTATTAATTTACACTTTTAGTTTCTAAGCCTATTTAGCGTCCCCCCCCCATCACTAAATTAGACAGATTGGACAGATTCTTAGGTATTTAGTGGGCCATTAAATTGTGACTTTTTAATCAAAAGAAAAATATTACTTATAACAGCTACCAGAAATATTCAGTCTTAAGAGAAGAAGGTTAATGAATGTCAACAATTGTAATTAAAATAGATATTTAATTATCAGTACAAATTATATTTATTGATTAAATTGACTGATTGCAGTACTGGAGATTGAACCCAGGACCTCACAAATGCTAGGCAAAGGGTGTACCACTGAGCTATATTCCCAGTCTCACTTCTATTTTATTTTCAGACAGGATTTTGTTAAATTGCCCAGACTGGACTTGAACTTATGATCGTCCTGTCTCACCATCCTGACTGTGATTATAGGTGTTCTRTAGATTATACCACAGTACATGGCACATATAATTTAATTTTGAAATGAAAGATGTGCTAAAGAATTTTTGGCTTTAGGGACCAATTTTAAATAATTATACATATGTGTGTAATTTACTTATCATTTTATTTTTAGGCAAATTTTTTCTTACATCAAGAAACATTACACACACATATAGTAAGTTTTGGAAAACCTGGAAACAAGGAGCTAAAATCAACATCTGAATTTTAATTACTTTTAACACTTCTGGCACAGAATTGTAGCTAGGAATTAAAGGATATTCTGCTTTTACCACAATAGATTGTTCATCACTTCCTTTAAAATTCAAAGGAATACCCTTTTCCCCAAATATCTGGCTTCAATAATTTGTTTATACCTGTTTTATTTCAGTAGTACSATCAGTACTTATGTCTAAGAATACAGAGCACTAACATTATTTTAATAGATCTTTTATGTAAAAAGGACAATAATATTATACAAGATCATTTCACTGGCTTTTTAAGTGTTTAGAGTCCCTTTTTCATTTTGATGAACAGAAACTAATGTTAGTGTGTTTTCATTAAGGCTTTCTCAGGAAAACATTCAGATGACTATGTTATATAAAACATAATTGTACAATATGCAAGATAATATTTAAACTTGAGATTCTTCATGTTTACTGGCATAAAATTTCTAGCAACAAAAAGTATACCTAACATATTTTATGAAATAATTTAATGGTCTGCATAATACTCAAGGATCCATATTCTTTTTACAGAATAAAATCATTCTTAATGATTCCTTAAAATATAAACATAAAAGCCTTCTTTTTAAAAGCTTAACAAATATCAGTACATCCATACTACTATTTGATTTGTTATAAATTACTAATAAATTATCTAAACAATATAAAGACATACAGGTATTAAATGTTAAAAGAAAAAAAAATCAGACAAAAAAGGAACCAATCCCCAACATATTAGTATTTAATTTTCTARTATTATATTGGTATCTTACTAACATCATAGAGGATGCAAAAAAGTGGCAAATTATTTTWAAATTCTAAATTAAACAATCTGATAAGAAAATTAAGCTTACACAGTGTGTTATCTTTCAATCTAAGATGTCAAAAGACAGGTCCATTTGACTTAGCTAAAAACTGGCCAATACTTTAATACAGATTTAGAAAATATAGGAAAGTGAACTTCCCAACCATGAAAGCAATGACCTATACCATTTGCTTGTGTTTTCATGGCTCAAAGGTCAGAAATAAGAGAATAGTTTATATTTCTTTGGCAGAGATAAAACATAATCCTTTATACAGAACTTCAGATTTCAGGGAAAACTTCAAATCCAGCAGCTAACAGCTTGTCTCTATTTGCTGTCACTCTAGATCAGAGAAACCCACATGTTTTTTTTCTTTCCTGCCCCCCCTTCAGTTACACTTGAGCTCTCTGACTGAAAAGGTCTGGAACAGATTAAAAGTCGGCCACAAAATAAAAAGCTCTGGCATGTTGTCAAGCCTGTCTGGAATACACATACACAGTGGGCCCAAAAAGGGAAACTAAATGCAATAGGAGAATTTCATGAAACTTTTTTTGGCATATCTAATTGTATGCGTGTGTGTGTGTGTGTGTGTGTGTGTATGTAAGAGGTAGAAAGAAGTACTTTTTAAAAGACTAAGTGATGGGTATAATCAGTGAATGTACTTAATCTCACAGCAAAGTTATTTTACTTAGCTGTTTTAAGTAAAATTATTCATTTTTTAAAAAAAGAATAAAGAATATATTTTATTTAGTTAGTTGCTGAACGACCTTTCTTTTTTATTTATATGCGGTGCTGATAATTGAACCCAGAGGCAAGTGCTCTACCACTGACCCACAACCCCAGCCCTTAAGTGAAAATATTCTTTTTAAAAAAGCTTTGATTCCTGATCTCTGAAGTTAATTATGAGTTAATTATCATCTTTCATAATTTAAGGATTTGGGGGGTATTTTACTCATAACACTATTCTTTGTATTTTCCAAAATGTGGACAAGTTTAATTCATTCCAATAAATACGATTTAAGGAAACATGTCCATTGTCATTCCATTCCATACAAATTTATTATATTTTCCACCTTACTTGATTTCCTACTTCAACCACAGGCTTATTCAAATATTAAATAAAATCTGAAGCTGCAAATTATTAACGTGACACACTGTTTTGTTTAACACCCAAAGAAGTCTTAAAGCTCAAAAGCCTGGCATTTAAGACAAACCGGATCTCTGTCAAAGTCACAGTCTCTGCCTTGATCACACCTTTGACTTTACTTTGAATAGAGGTTTCGGTCAGTCAGTGAAGCCAAATAGTCAGGCAATCTGAGGTAAAACTGAATACTGTTTGTTTTTAAAGCATATCTAAGACACAGGAGAACTTGTTCATTATGTTCCTGACAGGGAAGTTGTTTTATCCAACCAACTCCCAATAATTTTCTTTTTCTTTYTCCTCCTAGAGTTGTGTTTTGATGGCATTCACAGAGTTAATTCTYCTTTCCTGTAAGGGCCTCACAGTTGTTGTTAGGTCAACCCCTGTACAGCTTCAAAGGTTCCGCATCCCTTCAGTCTGACATACTCCGTGATCTGCACGTTGTTTTCATTAAACTGCATCTAGTCCATGATGAGAGCTTCAAAACCACAATTATCTGCTTCTTTTTAGACTCATTTTTCCATGGCTTTGGAAAAATATCTCAGAAACCCAACTGAAGAAACTAAAAACAGTGGGAAAATATGGATAAAAGGGCACTAAACAACTTGTATACTTTTATCACAATGYGCACATTTGAAAGGGAAGAGTTCCTCTGAGCACTGGTGATTTATCTATGTCAYCTGGAGGGAAATATGGCATGCCTTTTGCTTCTTATATAAAAAACAAAGGGAAGTATTTTTATTTACAAAAAAGAAAAATGGGCAAAAGAGGGGAAAATGCTTTCATTAGACCATTTCTAGGGCTACAGGTCCCCCCAATCACTACCACTTAGAATAACGCTCAAGCATGGGATGGTGCCCATCACTCTCAGAAGTTAAACATAAGCAGATACCAGGTCACTGACAAAAGCTGGTATTCCAGATTTTCAGTGTTATCTGATAGCCTAATTATTTCAGTGTTATCTGACAGCAATCAGGTAGAGAGAGACCATTATCAACAAGGTGGATGTGTTTCCCCAAAACATGAATTCTGGTTAGTAAGTAAGTAACAGTAATTCTGATTAGTAAGCGACTATACCAYTCTCTCATCCAATCCAGACTAAAAAGTCAAGTTAGACCTAAATCTCTAAAATTGAAAAGGTAAAAAAACAATAATGGGAAAAGTTCAGTGAGCAGTCATTTTTAATACTATGAAGCAATGCAGTTTTAAATGTGCTTTCCTAAATTCACACATTAAAAAAGTAATCAAAAATATCTAAAAAGGTTTTGAGATGAACCTTTACCAAAACGAGGGTCAAGCCTTGGGTCTAGCCAAGAGGTGGTCTTGTTCTTATGGTTTATATAGTAAATTTCTCCATCCTGAGTCATGGCTTGCTCCCATCCATCAGGAAGAGGACCTATAACACAGAAGAAAAAATAAATAAATAAATCAGGATTGGTTTCAATTTGGTGCACCTAAGGGGAAAAAAAAGTGGGAAAAATGCTATTTTAAAGAGAAAACACATCTTAACATAAAACAATTCATTAAAACAGATTAAAAGTCCGTGTTCAGAGAAGAAAGTTAAACCTTGTACCTAATTTTTCTCAACTAAAAAGAAACTATCAAATAATAATATTGACATCCCCAAAGACACAAATGACAGGGAAAAAAATCCTTTTGGAAGTCATAACCCAAATAATTATTACTGTTAATACAAGTCATGGAAGTGCTATAGTACAGGAACTTAGTTCCCAATCCAATCAGTTTTGTGACAGTACATTACTAGGGACTTCATGGTTCTGTAATAAGAAATACATGCAGGTGTTTTTAGAACATCTAAAATATTATAAACATTTTATTTAATACAGTGCACACTTTTAGCAAGAACTGCCAAGCTCCATTTATTTCCATTATTTATTTGACTGGCTTACACCAAGAAAACTATAATTCAGAAAACTACTGTCCAAAAAAGCACATTTTTAAAAAGGCCAGGTGGGGATGGGTAGTTGGAAGTTTGCTAAAAGCTTGGAAGAGGGGCAGAGTTAAATGCTAGTAATGCTAATGCTGTTAGAAAGCAAATTTCTCAAGAAGAAAAGGAGGAAACATTTCAAAGCTACAGAATGAAGAAACAACATCTGGGAGATAGGACTACAGAATACTCTAAGACTTTTGTTTTAATGAGGGTAGCCAGACAATTGCTTTGGGGAGGTAACAGTCCTTAGATAACTTGGATAAACAAGTCCAACAGTAGTCAATGAATGTCTTTGAGAGTTTCAACAACCACAAGAAACTTTCATTAGAAGCTTAACTATGCAGATTCTTTCTTTTGCAGTACCAGGGTCTTGTGCATGCTACCACCACACTATATATTTCCAGTGTGACTCTATATCATTTCTCAGTAGCATTACTCTTCCCCTTAGTTATCCGAGTTAGAACTACAAGATGTATCTTAGATACAAACAAAACTTTTCCTACCTGCTCCATCCATTTCATCCTGGACATTCCAATTTCATTCTGATTTATCTCCCCATCCCCTAGTTGGTCTCYAAGAGCTCAGATATCAATATTTACCATCTCTTTTTCTTAACTGTCAGAGCTTCCTTCCTTGGTGTCTGACTTCTCATCTCTTTTACTCAACTACTTTGTATCAAACAGCCACCAGGGTTTTCTTAAAATTCTTTCTTTTTGTGGGGTGGGTTAGAGTCTGGGGACAAACAAGGGCCTGGCAAATGATAGGTAAGTGCTCTATTTCTGAACCACATTCTTAAAGTCCTTTCTAATCAACTTTTATATGTCACTCCTTCTCTCACTAAAAGTATTTCCATTGCTCTCTACTATCAAAAGGAAAATGCCCAAATCCTACACCAACTGGACTGCCTTCTTTTTTTCTTTCTATTTTTCAGTACTGAGGATTGAACCCAGGGCCGCATGTACACTAGGCAAGGGCTCTATGAATGAACTACATCTTTAAGCAGGGTCTAAGTTGCTCAGGCTGGCCTTGAATTTGTGATCTTCCTATGTCAGCTTCCCCAGCAGCTGGAATTACAGATGTGTGCCACCTCATTCTTCTTCTTTTCTGGTACTGGGGATTTAACCTAGGAGCTCTTTGCCACTCAGCTTTATCCATGGCCCTTTTTATCTCTTATTTTGAGACAAGGTCTTACTAAGGTGTTGCAGGTCTCATTAAGTTRCTGAAGCTAGCCTCAACTTTCCATGTTCCTTCCTCAGCTTCCTGAGACACTGGGATTACAGGCATACACCCTTGCATCCAGCTGGATTTATTTCTTAAATTGGCTTCACTCTCCCAATTTTCTCAACTTTTCATGAAGTTCTTCTTTGTATACATTTATTGATTTATGCTATTATCAACAAGAGTACATTGTGAGAGAGCTGATAGCAATAGCACCTCCACCACTAATAGTTTCATCATCACCAGTACAAGATGATGAAATTACACATTTAAATCCACAGATTCGTGATCTGCCCAGAACTCTAAAGAGCGGTGGGTGGGAGAGACTATTTGGAGACTGAACCTAAGACCTGGAAATGTGGGATTTGAAGGTGATTTAGGGRACTAAGAACTGGGTCTCTCACCACATGAGTGGAAACCAGGGGAGATCCCTGGTGTACAGTCTGGTGTGGACCAGCAAGTATGGGCACTGAGAAGTGTGATGATTTAAAATCTCCAGACCAACTGGCATTCAGTAAGAGTCTTGAACCTACATAAGCCTGAACCCTGCCTCCAAATATTCCACCTAAGGAATTACCTCACTCACTCCAGCAATCCAGAGGATGAAGCATAACCCTCCAGATGACCCCACCTAAAACTACTGAGAATCTTTTAAACTCCAACAGAAAGAATTCTTAAATTCATCAAGATCATTTATTTTTTCTTACTTTTTTTCTCTGTTTAATTGTGGCCTTAATGGTACATGGGCATTTATACATATTCATATTTTTTTCTAATTTCTGACATCTTTGAAGCAAGTTATTTTTTCTGGATAAGTTTTTTGTGAACTAGGATGTTTGATGAGTATGTTTTAGGTTTATTTGTTTGTTTTTGTGGTGCTGGGGATTGAACCCAGGGCCTTGTGTATGTAAGGCAGGCACTCTACCAACTGAGCTRTATCCCCAGTCGCTCTTTTATTTTTTTTTTAATTTTTACTTTTTATATATATATATTTTCTTCCTGTTTCCCTTGATTCTCTTTTCTTCTGCTAACAGCCATTCTCTATTGTTCTCTTTCACTCTTCCTTTAACTTTTTACTTCTTCTCTCTTCTTCCCTTAAAATCATCACATCTTATATCACTTCTGTTTCCCCCGCCCCCGTCTACCATTTGAAACTATAAACCCTTTTGCAAACTTGTTATTTTTATTGTAGGCAATAGCTTATCACATCATTTCTATCTGTTGTGATAATTAAACCAAATAATAATTATTTGGTTTAATGCTGTATAGTGTTTGCATTAGTGGTTATTATTATTTTGTCTCCCCCTAAACAGCAAGGTAGTGGAAACCTTAAGGGATACTTTAAGTCCACAGGGCAGAAACTCTATTACCTTAGATCCATACTCTCAGATAGGTAGACACAAAAATAACATGAAAAAGCAAGGAAACAAACTGCCCCAAACTAACCAATATACTCCAATAACATAATATATTGACACCATAGCATTAGAAATGTCAGGAGTTCAAAATGTACATAGTTAAGCTGATGTGCAAATTAAGGATGGTATAAGAAATGAAATTAGAGAGAAAATACAGGAAGTAAATCACTTCAATAAAAAGGCAGAGATTAAGTGGAAAACCTTGAAATGAAGGAAACAAGTAACCAAATTAAAAATTCAATGGAAAGCATCACCAACAGACCAGACCACTAGAAAGACAGAACCTCACGCAATGAAGACAAAATATATAATGCTGAAAACAGAATTGACCATGGAGAGAAGATATTCAGAAACCACATACAGAACTTACAAGAACTATAGGATACATGAAAAGACCAAATTTAACATTTATCAGGACAGATGAAGGCACAGAGATACAAACCAAAGGAATGCACAATCTTTTTAATGAAATAGCATCATGAAATTTCCCAAACCTAAAGAATGAAATGGAAAACCAAATACAAGAGACTTACGGGAACCAAATGTACAAAATTACAACAGACCCACAACAAGGCACATTATAATGAAAATGCCTAACATACAGAATAAGGATAGAATTTTAAAAGGTGTAAGAGAAAAATGTCACATTACCTATAGGGAATAACCAATCAGGATCTCAGCTGATTTCTCAACCCAGACCCTCAAAGCTAGATGGTCCTGGAATAATATATATCAAGCTCTGAAAGAAAATGGATGCCAATCAAGAATCTCATCCAGCAAAATTAAGCTTCATATTCGAAGATGAAATGTAAACCTTCTATGATAAACAAAAGTTAGAAGAATTTACAACTGGAAAGCCTTTATCTCAGAATATTCAACAAAATATTCCATGAATACGAAATGAAAAAAAAAAAAGGAAAACCAGCAAAGGGAGGAACTAAAGAAATAGTCAATCAAAGCAGAAACTAATTCAAATTAAAAACTAGAAATAAACCCAAATGACCGAGAATATAAATCATATCTCAATAATAACCTTGAATATTAATGGCCTAAAACCATCAATCAAAAGACACAGACTGGCAGATTGGATTGAAAAACAAGACCCAACAATACATATGCTATCTCCAAGAAGACTTAACTCATAGGCAAAGATGTCCACAGACTGAAGGTAAAAGGATGGGAAAAAACATACCACTCATATGGATTGCGTAAATGAGCAGGGATTTCTATCCTTATATCAGATAAAGAGGACTTTAAGCCAAAGTTAATCAGAAGGGATCAAGGAGGCCATTTCATACTGCTTAAAGAAATTACACATCAACAAGACATAACAATCGTAAATATTTATGCCTCAAACAATGGAGTATCTACACAAATCAAATAAACCCTCTCAATTTCAAGAATCAAATAGACCACACACAATAATATTAGGTAACTTTAATATGACTGTCAATACTGGTTAGATCCTCCAAACAAAAACCAAAGAAGCTATAGAAGTAAAAAATACAATTGATAATTTGGACTTAACATATAGAATATTTCATCCAAAATGACTGAATACACTTTCTTCTTAATAGCACAGGGATCTTTCTCTAATACAGACCATGTTATGTAAGCTATCATATATGTTGGCATACAATTGTAATATTACCTTAATATATTTTTAGCATCTGAAGGGTTATTTAGATCTCTTTTTCCATTGATATTAATATTTGTTTTCCTTCTTTTTTATTGATTAGACTCGTTTGATTTTTATTAAATTTTAGCTGTATTATTTCTTCTCTATTTCATATATATCTGCTCCTATGC